TATCAAAAAATGTAATGTAATCAAATTGAACCAACCGCAATCTACGAAAGATCTGAACTTGAGGTCACCCACTGATCCAATACCATGAACCACGAAAAGTAAGTGATCCACCTCGTCCTTCTCGTCTGAAATTAGAGATTTAGAGTTTTAGAAGGCAGAGTTAGTAAAAAGTACTAATTCTATACTACAAATATATTTGTGTGTTTGTTTATAGAACCCGTCCCCAATTTCGTATCGGAAAATGAATTAAACTCAGTTCTAAGTGTGAATACGGGTGGTACCTACACCTACCTCACCCTGACTTTTCACGAGAATACTAGCTTAGAATTAGTTTTAGTGAGCTGCACGATTTAGACCACTGACCCAACCCAGAGAATAGTTAGATTTAGTTTGCACCATTAGTTTGGATGGAGCTGTATCCTTGGAGAATCCTGGCACACTTTTGTCACTTTCAACCGAGATTCACTGAGCTTGCTACTGCTGCCTATTCGTGTGTTGAGCGAATACCCTTTGACTTTTTGGCATCTGCCCAGAGAGACCATTTAATCGAATTCCATACACCAAGGTGTAGGATGAGCCAAGAGTTCGACAATGTAGTGGTCACGAATATGGAGCATGCTACTCAAGCTCATAAAGGCCAATAACACGGACAAACCGTTTAACCTTCGGCTTGAGATATTCTCGACGCCACAAATGATCCAAATTCTTAATTTTTAATTATGCAACCTACCATAACCAATGGTGCCCTCCCCGAGCTCTTTCCTCTCGCATTTGCGAGGGTCGACTCCAATGTGTAAAAGGAGTTCAGGATTTGTTCACACTAAGCTCTAACATCGCTATTTGTTGACCATCAGCCTTCACTAAAGGTAATTTTTTAGAGAGTGGAGGCCGACCGTCAGCTTGGGATGCAGGGCCATATAGCAGGAATCAGGATCTTGTGGTTTGTATTATGCTGTCACGTGACAAGATTCATCACGTGGCCCAGAAATTTAGAGTCCTGGAAAACAATTGGCTGGCCGGCTAACACTTTGCTTTAACAGGCTTAGTTCTTTCACGTGATAACTTTGAGAACTAATACCAAAGACGCAGCGAGCAGGATAATGCCATTAGGGTTACTGGTCGCTCTGTTTTGTGATAGAAAATTCTAGAAGCTTTACCACTCATTCGCATTGAGTATGGTTTTTATGAGCTCTCAGTCTTCAACTCTTAAGCAAGACCAGTCTTTTTTTCCCCACAACCTCGCTGCAAAATACAAAAGATCACATTGAGTATTATTCCGTCCAGAGCCACGTTGCAAAGTCATGACGGTCTTAATGTCTTATTCGTCCTTAGTTAACACAATATACTAAATTACAGAAATAGATCGCATTTGAATCCTAAGGTGATATAATGAGCGCATAGAAATTAATCACTATTCTTATTTGGCTTTGTTTTCATCAGAACACTGAAATACCTGTGATTAAACAAATATATTTAAGCGAGACCTAGTATGGAAAAACAATATTATGCAATATTATGTACTAAACAAATATCATCTTTAGTCATAACAAAATCTGGCAAAAAATAGACATGATTTTCCAAAAAGACTAGCTCAGAGCTTTATAATGATCCAAGAGCTTAGTAAGTAGTGGTTAGTCGTCTGTGGCCCTAGCTTACTATTTTACTCCTTTTTGCCGCTTGCTCCACATAACTGTGTAAACAGGCATCGGTAAGCTGGAGGCGGTATGTGGTAGTGTGGTAACTGCTATCTAGGCGGTCTGTGGTAGTGTGGTAACTGCTATCTAGGCGGTCTGTGGTAGTGTGATAACTACTATCTAATGGTACAGAGTTCAGTGGTACTTATACAGGAAATAGAAACTATGCCAGCAGTAACTTTAACTTATGAGACTGAGGATTTAATAACGTCTCCCTCTTACTCTTGTTGTCTAGACTAGCGTACCCCTTGCTATTTATATAATACTTGTTATCGGCTATTTGTGCAACTCGATTTTATTTTCTTACACGTAACGTTGACGGTATGTTTGATCAGGGCACGCTCGTTTTCTCAATAATATTTGAATACAAAATATTGAATTTTTTTTTCTATTAACGTGTTGGTATATTATCAACAAAAAAAGCTATGCCTAATAATATTTCGTGGATTTGGCCATATTATGAATTTCAAATTTCCACATCGTCCGGCTTCGGTGATTTCACCTGTTTATGGAATTTTCATTGGTTTGATAAGCAAAACTTATCAATCCAAGCAAAACACACTGAAAACTTTTCCTAGATACAACTGCATTATTAAACTGGTAATTATTGTGTCTTAGTGAAACAATAGTAATTTTAAATCATTGCAGTTTTCAGATTCGAACATTACTTTCCTACTTTACTGTCATACACTTGCAAAGAGAATTCATAACCCATCATCATTAGTGATCATTTGAAAGAGGAAGGCAAGCTATTGCGAGTCACCTTAACTTGCCAGTGATATGGGCTTTAGAGCGAACGTTTGGTTCGCCCTAATACTTCTATCTCAAGTAAACGCCACGGACACAGGTTAGTCTTACTAAATATTTCAAATAAATTTATAGAGGTTATTATTTTAAAATATTTCATTTACCAATTACCTCTCGACAATACTGGCAACATTTAACTTCATTTGTCAATTTACTCAATCAATTAATGACTTCTTTCTTAACTTCCAGTATATATAGTAGTTTATATCTATACTATAATGATTCGATTAATGATCTACAATCTGTTTCCAAAACATTTTGTAGAATGTTTCAACTGAAATTAAAATAATCCATTTAGGTTGGATAACAGTCAGCAAAAACAAAATCATACCACACGACAGTTCAGCACCGTTAGAGGTCAAGACCTCGGCTGAAATAGGCAGCAACAAGCAAATCTATCTGGAGTTCCTTGATTCTAGTAATGTAGTGAGAGGAAATCTGAGGGTCAATTTTTATAGCCCAATCAAATACTTCACTACGGCAAATTGTGTACATGGTGGGAATGAAATTGTCATTCCTTCAAGCTCTTCAGAGGGATGGGTGTTAACTGTTCAAAAGACGGAAAAGTCGCTCACAATTCACGGCAACAATGTTTTGATCACAAATCTCGTGTTCAGTGAACATATGTATGGAAACTGTGAAGCACGGTGGAATCTCGAACCTCTGCTGAAGATAAGATTTAGATCATCAGACACGGCTTCTGAAATTTACCGAGTAAAACCTCGAGGTAACAAATAATAAAAAGTATTGATTGTGATCAGCGACAGATTTATAGGATGACCAGATATGCTTATATAACTCACAACATTATCGTTATCAGTTAGTGACAGTGAATTCTCCTTTATAAAATCAACACTTTGTTTCAGGTCAGTGCACAGGCTTAAACCACGGACTTGAGCACCTTGAGATACAACAAACATTCCCGGTTAAAAGTGACACTGTGATCAACGTAAACTGCATTGAAAATAACGAACAACTGTTTGGAGACGAAACCATAACCTGCTACGACCAAACTTTCTTCCTGTTTGAACGAATTCCTAAGTGTATTGCCCCAGGTATCCATTTTGTTTTTAGTTAATTGTTTTAGTTTAAAAAAAGGTTGTATAACTATAACCTACTGGCTACATGATAAACTTTGACAAAAGTTTAGAACTATATGATGTCAAAAAATAGGAAAATAGGGTTTCGATCACTTCATTATATATATCACTAGAAACCCGCTAGTCGAAAGCTTTGTTCGAGGAAATTTTAAAAATCAGTTATGTTTTAATTTCTCTTCATCATACAGCTCTGTTATTCAGTAGACATAATGGAATTTATTTAACAATGGCGACAGCGTTGTTAGTATTCGGATTCCCAAAACGATACTTTTTACCGCATCAAAAAATACCAATCACAACCAAAGTTATGAATATAAGTCATAGCGTGAGCGTAAATGTGAGCTAGTTTTGAAGTTATGACGTAGCATACAGCATAACAACGCGCGTAGTTAAGATGTTCTTGCTCGCGCACGTGCATTTTTATCGTTGCTACGCAACAGCGCAGTAAACCTTTGCTAAAATAACGCCATTATTCTAACGATTATTTAACCTCACTTCCGACGATAATTATAAAAAATCTAAAGCCTAAATCAAAATTCTAAGAATGTTATAGCCTATTCCTATCCTTTTTCTACAACCCTGCTAAAAATGGCGAGGTTTCAACTCCATTTGCGAGCTGGGTTTGGCTTCACCAGAGGGTCATTTTGAGGTCGATTTTCGGTGTTTTTTCTTCTATGTCCCCGTTGCCGGGGAAATTTCGTCAAGTTTAAAATATTGTATAGATATTATCATATTAACATCTATTTGTTACAGCATCTTGCACCGCATTGCCTACAGCTCGGCTAATGCCCTACGTCATTCGTGAGGGTGTGGAGTTTCCTAAATCGTCTGGCACAGAGATCCAACTTTCTTGCTACGAAGGATTTGAGTTAGAAGGAGACAAGAAAATGACATGCTACTCCGGCACCTACTACACATACTCAGGAGATAGTGGAGAGCTACCAAAATGCACGCCAACTCCTTCTTCAGGTATGCCAGGTGGATCAGACGATAGACAGTGTAAGGATTTGTATTTCTTTAAATGCATGATTTTATACTTCATTAGTATCATTTACATCTTGATGATGGATTCCTCTTCAGGATGGAAAATAGCGGAACATGATTGGTCCATGATCCAAGTTAGTGGCCAGCCTTTCGACGTGATAACAAATTCGATGCCCAACTCATATGACATGCTTAAATTTGAGTTTCATGGCATAGGTTCGATAACTTTAGAAATGAGAGAAGAGTTCACTGCCATGTATCAAATGAGATACGGCTGCACACCTGACATGAAAAAGACAGCGCGACTCCCTGATGCTTTGGTGAAAGTTTGGACATTTTCTAAAACAAGCTCTTCGTTGATCATACATTGTAATGGTCAGATTGCTGCCAACATCCCTTTTGATGAAGGAGTGACACGTTGTGAAAGAAGATGGTCAAAAAATGTGGAACAAATACGATTCATATACGATGGAGATGCAGCGTCTGATTATTACAGAGTCAAGCAGGCATCAGGTACATGCGTAACACTTTAAATAAAAGAGACATTATATTTTGATAGATACAATATAAAGATTAAATATGATAGAAAAAATTGTCCTGTCCAGTGCAGTGGCCAGATCCCAATCAGTTGGAAGTCATACAATTACAATAAACTATATAGGGGTAGGTAAGAACCTCCAGGTAAAAATAAGTGTTGGTTAAGTCGGGACACGGAAATAGTGTTTTGACTTTACCCTTTTTAACACTTTATTAGCTAAAACCATAATTTCCAGATTGCACCGGTCTTCACCCAAGCTGGAAAGGATTGACTTTGGAACCAGATGTCTTTTCCTCTGAAGGTTCCAGCATAAGTACAGGAACCATAGTTGCACTGTCATGTGGCACTGGGACGAGACTATTTGGTGACAAGGAAGTGACATGTTACAGTGGTACTTACTACACATTCCAGAGGATCCCGCACTGTGTCTCACCCGGTTAGGGTTATTTGAATGTTAATTATAAAGTTATCAGAAGAGCTGTTTTATCTTAGAGTTTGAGATATTCAAAGTCCTTTGTAAGATCACAATATAACATTTGTCAAGACTCCTCGATTTTCAGGAAGCTGCACTGCATTACCCAGGATACTGAAATGGTTTAACATGAAAGCAACAACCCTCAATGACAAAGAGTATCCAGTTTCCTCCGGAGAGGTGCTCACTCTTTCGTGTACTGATGGGCTCCAACTGAAGGGATCAAAAACATTGACCTGTCAGAATGAGGGCTATTATTTCCATGACGAGAGCGAGGATGAACCGAGATGTATACCATCACAACAATCAGGTACTAAATATAACACAATTATTTCCTTCGTGTTTCTGATTGCATTGGAATGTATATTTTATAAAGAAAATTATGAGGAAAATTCAATAAAACTGTCGTGGGAGTGGCTCAGATTCTTTTGATCAAAGTAGTGATTTTTATTGGTCTACGCTTTTAAACACTGCTGGGTTCATAACTTTTTCGAACAAGTTTGCTCTTAACCTTCTACAAGCTTTCAAGTTAACTTAGTTATGTTATTATTGTTTCATAACATTATTTTACCACAAGTATTTTAGAAACAAGAATTTATTTACAGATTTACGGTAAATTGAATTTACCTCAGGTTGGAAAAAAGTTATTACTGACGAGATTGATTATAATCTTCGTGTACCCCTGGACATATTTACGGATTCTTTTACTTCAAAAGAGTCAAATGGGATAAAGCTCTATTTCTACGATGACTTTGGAAAATCAGGATTTTTGGGACTAACAAAAGGAAATGAAAATGATATCAGATATCGCATTGACTTTTGTTCGAGTGTGAGCTATCAGTCGACTGGACACCAAATACCAGATGATGAACTTGATGAAATCGTTGTTTGGACGATTCACTCAACTACATCGTCAATCACAGTTCATTACTTCGACAAGGCCATAATTCACATTCCATTTGATGAACTTCGTTCAAGCTATTGTGAAGAGAAGCTGAAAACTCAAAAGGGGATAAGATTTTCCACCACTGACTTAATGTCACGTTACTACAGGCCAAAACCCACAGGTACATTGTAACATTGTAGTTAGATTGAACCTTAAGTTTATATTTTAACTTGTTATTGGTGAAGTGTTTGATTCCAGTTTCCATTTAAAGAGTTCACAGAATCTATGTGAATATGGTCAATAATACAGAAAATAACCAGATATTTCCAGGAAGGTGCACTGGTCTGGATTCTTCATGGGAGGGAGTAGAAGCACTCACTCAATTCCCTGTCGAATACGGAGTGAAAATAAACTTAGGGTGCACACAGAGTGATGCAATCAACGTGGGAGATAGCCAAGTAACTTGTTATGAAGGAACATTCTTTCTGTTCAACCAACGTCCTCATTGCTTAAAACCAGGTCAAATAAGATGGAATTTGTTTTATAGATGAATCTCTCTGGAAAGGGCACGATTGATTTTTTCCTTTTACATATAAGCTTTTAATTATTGTTGTGTTAGTTTTAATTCCATCTTTCAGCCGAGTGTAACATTCCAAGTCCACAAAAAATGTGGTCTTATCTTCGAACGAGTGCTACTTTCCCCGTTCCTACTGGTGCAACTGTTGAATTGTCATGCTCGAAAGGCTTAGCATTGACTGGAGAGGATACGATAACTTGTTTCGGTGGAGGTCACTACAATTTCAATGCTGAAAAGAAGCCCACGTGCACGCAATCCAATGGTACAGTTTAACATTCATTTTTTAACAATTTATATCGATACTGATGTGTGGCAGGGGGGCAACTTATTGTTTCTCTTAGTTCCACGAACAATGTTATTGTATAGTAAACATATGCAATATCATGTACATCTAATTGAGTTAGTTATGATGCGGAAACAGCTTCCATCTGAAATTATGATGGAGAGATGAGAAACAAATCCTTCGGCTTCCTGTAATTGGCTGGTTGCACTTGTGTAACAATATGGCTGTTGGAATACTCCGAAGTAAAATAAGTGTATAGATTAAAAAAAAATGTATCGTGCAGATTGGCAGTTCATCAAAAGAGGTGATATGATTGGATACGATTTAGAGGAATACCCATTGGAAATACTGACAAACTCTGAAATAGGAGGCTATGAAGTAATCCATCTAGTTTTCTACGACACCTCTAGATCACAAATAGAAGACATGACGATCCATTACGGAGGGAAAAAATCAATAACATGGACTATGTTCTGTTATGACGGAGTTGAAATTCCTAGTTCAGCTCTGCCAACAACACCAAATAAGATCTGGAAAATAATAAAGAAGGAAAGAGAAACAGTGCTGTACTGCAACGAACAATATGTCACTAAAATAACCTACAGTGATAGCACAACATCTGCAGAGTGTGAAGATATGGGCACAAGAGATGTTGACTTCATAATGATACATACTGGAGACAGTGCTACGGATTTTATAAAGAGAAAAGGTAATATCATGTAGTTGCTCATTTAAACTATGTTAAGTCCACTTTTCATGATTTGCTCCCAAATAATTTGACGGTGTGAAAGTGGACCATAAATTACTAATTTCAGCTAAAAAGATAAGAAAAACAAAACAATCCTTAATAAACTTGTATTCTCAGAAACCTGTGTTGGACTAGACCCGGCTTGGGAGAACGCTCAGTCCTCAGCTTCCTTCCCAATACCACGTGGTACAGTGATATCAGTGTCATGTGACCCCAACTACATACACAGTGGAGATACAGAGGTTACTTGTGATCGGAGGGAACAGTTCTATTTTACAACTCAACCTCTGTGTACCCTTCAACGTAAGTATATTACTTTATATTCTAACAGCTTTCAGTAATGCAACTATATATCACAGGAATGACTCCAAGGGAATTTCCTGAAACTTGATCAGATAAATTTGATGACAGATAATAAACATAATGGACCTGTTATCTACAGAATGCACTGGACTGGACAGCAGGTGGGAGAATCTTAAAACAGAGACCACATTTCCGATACAAAGTGAAGAAACAATAACAGTGACATGTCAAGAATTGTACATCAACCAGGGATCTGATATGATTACCTGCAATGAGATGACATCCTTCTCTTATGAAACAGAACCGCTGTGTGAAATGGTTAAAGGTAAACTAATTTTAATTAAAAGAAGCTTTTCAGGTATGGCTATACAATTTTCACTACTTGAGAGTTTTTCATAATTAATAAACTATCAAAATGTGACTGGGGTTAATAGTGATTTCTTATTTCTGATAAACTTCAGAATTCAATAAATTATTATCAAAACACAAAACACCCCCAGACAAATTATGTACTGTTCTACCTGAAGAACTCTCGGGACTAGGTCTACTTTTACCAGTAATTGTTGGAACGGTGTTAAACGTAAAATGTGATGAAGGAGCACACCTTGGGGATAAGACTGTAACATGTCTCGGTGAGCAGACATTTTCTTACGATATCCAGCCATATTGTGGTCCCACCGGTGAGTTAATGCTTATATATTCTACTGCGAACAGTTGGCGGAAATTCATGTTAGGGAATATGAATTTTCGTTGGCTGTTCTGATCACATTAATACAGCTCAAATTACTGATTATATATTATTATCAACAAATTATATTTAATGAGCAGAAGTTTGATTTGTTCCAGTTTACAGTAAAGGTAAGTATATGGGTGCATTACACAATATATATTACTGGCTCGTGCCCAGAATTAATATACTTAATGCAATAAAGTTTAAAGAATGGAAGTCAAATATTGTTTCCTTTTGAATGACTATTGCAGTATCTTTGAAGCAAATCAATAATCTCATTATATATCATAACACGATTTTAAACTATTCCCTACTGATCTTTTGCCCTTAGCAAATGGTAGGCAAAATATATCTATAAATTAGAAAAACAGAATAAACGTAATCTGCTTGAACCTGGTGGTATCTTGTCTTCGTCAGGAACTCCTCTTTTAACGAGACGGGGAGCATTCTGTAACTCAGATTCTGCTGTAAGTTGCGTATACTGGACCATCATTGTGTGTGAGTTTATTATCACTGCCTGCAATCATAAAGGGTATTTATATTAGTAGTACTAAGCAGATTCTGCTGTAAGTTGCGTATACTGGACCATCATTGTGTGTGAGTTGATTATCACTGCCTGCAATCACAAAGGGTATTTATATTAGTAGTACTAAGCAGTTATTGTATATTTCTTGACAATCGTAATAACTTTGTATTATATTATATGATGACAAAAAGAACTTAATATTGATTATAAATTCCAACAGCCCAATTCAAAGACTTACTTCACCATTGCCGAGCTCAACCCTCATCGGGAAGGTCTTCAGCTTCATTGCGGTCGCGTAATGTTCCTAAAACAGCTTTAATTTAGAATTTAAGTATTATGTTGATACTTCAGGGTCACTGTAAAAATCAAAATCAACGCATTTGTCAAACGTTTAAAACCACATTATACTGAATTCATTAACCAACCTCCAGAACGTTTGCTTTGTCCTCGTTGTAAGGTTGCATGATATCATTGTTCCCGCGATAGAACCACGAACAACGTCTGATAGCAGAAGCCAAACCATCCCAGTACACAGGTATTCTTTGTCTAGCTGACATGTTTACGTCGTACCTCCCTCCGTCCGTGCTTACTTGTACTTGTACTTTATCTGAACCTGGGTTTTATTACAACTTCAATTTAGATCAAACTAAAAATTTCATATTTTAATTTTTAGATTTTTGTGCTCCTCATAGATGATATCAAAACGGTATTAATGAACGGGGAATTGTCAAATCAATAACCTGTAGGCATTCTTGTGGTATATGCTTTTTCTAGTTTTTCAGAATCTCGATAAGAAAACGGATTCCAGCTGCCTCCAGGATTACTGTAGTACCAGTGAACTGACGGTTTTAAAAGCAGGGAAGTGGTTGGTGAGGTGATTGGTGAAAGTGATATGCCCATGCTCTCCTGAGGGGAATTTTGAGTGTTATCAATTTGAGATTCCACACTTTTTTCAGATTGAACAACAGGGATATAGTATCTGGAGCTTGATAAACGTAAGACCCTGATGGTCTCTGTCCGATGTGAGAAGAAGGCTTCGATATATTTCCTGTCAATGGAGGATGGAATCGAGAGACATCCATCAAGGGGACAGAAGAGCGGGATTGTATCTGTTGAAGTGTTGGTGCAGATGGCTGCCTATCAATCTCTTTAGAGTCTGTATTTTGACTCAATCCATCCGTAGTATTCTGTAGGCTACTATTGTATGTCACTTGATTTGAAGGGAACTGATTTTCATTGTTAGAAGCAGGAAAATAATTAGACAGTGGCATTTCAGGATGATAAGCTTGAGACAAATCTTTGTTAAAAGTCTTAAAGTAAGCCGGATCAATATCTATCTGAGTTGGAGACTCAGCAGTGTGCATTATCGAACCACTAAACATTGTTGTTGGTTCAATTTCGTTAGTCAACTGCTGAATCTTGTATTCCACAGCAGTTTCATCATTACTCTGGTTCACATCACTAGAAAGCCTTATACTACGCTCTAGGACATCAGCTTCAGACTCCTCAGAATCTGCTGGGGAGTCTTTTCTTATATCCATTGCATCAATTTGACTTACAAATGCCTCAGATGTGTTATGAGTGATGGATCTGGGAGTTGAACACACTTCAGGGACACTATTCTCTGCTTTATCACCATCCATCATTAGTGACCTATAACATGTGATGATGTGAATATATTTAGATTATATCAAATTAGAAAATAAAGAAAACATCAAAAATGTACAAATTGGTCCTGTTTTAATTAATTAGAGCAGCATATAATAATGACAACTGAATTATGACATGATTGGCAAATAATGGAATTTAATTGAAAATAGTGGATAACTTATATAATAAAGAAGTACACAGTAAACACAATTCAAACATAAACATCGCTATCACAATATCATGAAAAAGAATTTTATTCATGTTTGACATTATAGATTTATCATAATAATTCAAGGCTCTTGTGGCTCTTCGCATGAATCCCCATTGAAGCAGGTCTTTTTGTAATAAAGGGACATAAATTACATCTCAATATGTAAGCCTCAGAATTATTACTATCTGAATGATGACTGAGCAAATGCTTATCTAATAGCATTTTTTTTGAGCTGTTATAAGAACACTTATCACATTTCCACTTCCTTTCATTTGTGTGAGTTGACTCATGATCTCGAAGTTTTGTCTTGTCTTTCAACATCTTCAAACAATACCTACACTTCAGTTTATGAGACTTAGTATGATTTCTGAACTCAGAGCTCTCTCTTGTAGAATATGGACATTTTGAACAATATTTTAACTCATGTATCTTCATATGATTTTGTAGTTTAGCTCGTGTGCGTGTTGCAAAGTTGCACATCACACATTTGAAAAATAAAGAATCCTCATCATGAATTTTTTTATGCTGGGAGATAGCAGACTTCGAGGCAGCTTTATAGGGACAAACATTACACTGAAAAGGTTTTTCTCCAGTATGCTTTCTTTGATGGATGGTCAGTTGTCCACTCTCTGTAGCTGACCAAAGACAGAATTGACACTTATAAGGTCGAATACCAGTGTGTCGCTTCAAATGTGTATCTAGAGACTGCTTGTGAGCAGTTCTGAAACTGCAATAACTGCATTTAAATGGCTTTAAGCCAATGTGTTGGCTATTGATGTGTGATAGAACATGTGATTTACAACGTCCACTGTAATCACACATCCTACACTTGAAAACTTTCTTTGACGACTTTTGATCATAAAAACTTGTAGGGACTGAATTACAGTGATGCGAACTCAGTGTCACATTTGCTCCACAAGGAGCGATATCCTCATCTTCTGTGACGCAGTTAGTAGATTTCCAGTCATTTCCACAATGTGTCTCATCTGTCATATTTTTATCCCTGAATCAATATGCATGGATTAAAATAATAATAATAATAATAATTTAAACTTTTATATTATAGTGGCACAACAACTTAAAATGCACAGATGTGCCACGAAAACAGTTCAGGATACAATAAAACCTGAAAAAGCAACCCACATTTATATTCTAAACCAGATAAGGGTGATTAGACTTGATTCACTAAATAAACGATAATGTGTATGCATTTTCCAGTAGAACCAAATAGGGAAAACTAGGATTGAAAAATATTAAGATACAATATCTTATCTTATCTTATCTTATATTATGAGGATTTGTTGCGACGCAACAAGGCCATCGAATGAGTCGACCACCTTTGTTATTTTACTTTGGCATTACCTGCATTACAATGTAAACCAGCACTTTCAAGGAAGAGCTTTACAAGAAGCCGAAGGATCGTTCCTAAGGCCAGCGACGGTTAAGGCACTATGCCACACTTTCTTCGCCCGAGGCTTCGCTGTGTTGATCAAGCACAGCTCCTCATTTAACCCTCACACCCGATTTCTCGAGCATTCGGCTGAGTGAACCGTGGGGCTACATAGACCACTCGGGATCCTTTTACAGTCACAACAAGGACAAAAAGTCATACACCAAATGAGCATTATATTTTTATAAATTGTTTTACATCTCTTTATTCTGTAAAATCTGCTAAAAATTAAATTTCTTGTTTCATTGAAAAAAAAATTTCTTGCTTCATTGTCAACGACGCTCACCCCACGACTAGGCAGGCAGTGGGATTCGAACTCGCAACCTCACGATTACAAAGCCGATGATTAACCAACTGCGCTACCTGGCCCGTTTCAAAAGAAATGTTTTCAGATACACTTTAAAAGAGTCCAATGTTGTACAATTCTTAATCTCAAATGGTAGTTCATTCCATAATTTAGGGCCAAGTTTCTGAAAAGATCTTTCTCCATATTGTGTGTGCACTCTAGGTTCAGTCAAATAGATAAGATGATTATAGTTTGCAAATTTAAACGTTGTACTTAAATAATCTGGTCCCATGCCATTTAGACATTTATAAACAAGAAGTAATAATTTGTACTGAATTCTGTAACTGATAGGCAGCCAATGAAGGTCTTTCAGAGTATCTCCTAAATGATCATGTTTATATAGTCCTACTATTGCTTTAGCAGCAGCATTTTGAATGAGTTGAAGCTGATGGATGAGGTAGTCACTGATTCCAAAGTAAAGGGCGTTGCAGTAATCCAATTTGCCGACGATAATGCTATTAACAATGAGCTTAAGCTGAGCTTTACTAAAAAGATACTTTCTTCTGATAACATTCCTGAGGAGTCTACAACAATGTTTTTTTAGGGACATGATTTGAGGCTCAAAGGTAAGGTGATGGTCGATTTGCACACCAAGATTTTTTGTTGTGCTGACAAATCTGATACACAAAATGGTGAGGTTACGTGCTACGCCCTAGCTATAGTGCCCAATGAACCATAGCAAGCAAGTAGAGATGTCAACACTGCACCGTACAATTAGATCTACAGTGCTATGGGGTCAGCTCTCAGCTTCCCCTATATAAGGAGATAAGGGGACCCCTCAACATACAAAATGTTTGTATAATAATGTTACATAACTATTTCACCCCACACAAGACATAATAGAAGCATAAGAACGGGGAGGCAGCTCAATTAAGGTGGTAACAAGATAAACAAAATGCTTGATAACTTTGTCATTTCAAATCTGTTTCACATCATTTTTTAGATCAGATGCAGCAATTAATGATCAACAGTAAGTTGAAAAACTGGGGCATCCAGTATTTTCGGAAAGAACAATATATGTAATTTAACATTAAATGAGTAAACAGAGTTTGACAAGAGTAGGTACCACCCATGTTTTACTGAACACAATACACGTAGAAACAAACTTAGAAGATCCCTTAAAGTTAAATTAATTTATGATCAATCGTGAGCGACGAAAATTAAGGATGACGAAAATTTTGAAGTATGATGTTGCATATAGTACATAGTAATGTATTCAGTAAAAGCGCCAATAAAACATTAAAAATATTTGCTTTGGCGCTTTATTTTATATTTTACGGTGTAAATATGAAATAGTAAACTAGCGAAAACTTGCGCGGCGCGTATAAAATTAGATTTATATGTTTATTATTTATTGGTAATATCAATTAATTATTAATCGTTCGTCGTCTTATTAGCCCTATTTGCTTTAAATTATGCTATCGATCGTTGACCATTTTTAATGGTTTGGCCCGGCGCGCGCTACTATATCCGTCAATATCAATCGCCCTTGCAAAATGTGACTTACAGTGCATTAGCACGTACGTGACCGCCATACAACATGACAAGCACAATACACATTATACCATGGATGCAGACATGTATAGGTTTACTTAGTCTATACTCTCTAGCTTATTGCTCACTTGATTTGCGCTCTGATCTCTGCATGTACAAGCAGGATCTCGAAAAAAGCGCCACGCAAAGGGAACTTAGGGACAGGCACATCTGGTAAGGCCTTGCTTTAACCAAAGCCCTCTCGCTTGCAATAGCGCGCGACTGCCGAAGGTTACCTGGGGACCTCAGGCTATCATGCACATATTAACATAGAATAGAATATTCCGCCGAATAGAGATTAGGCGGAATGACAGGCTGAGCGCGGCCCAGTAAGCGGAAGGCTGCAAAATTTATTCTACTTGTATATTCTACTTGTGAAACAAGCGCGTCACGCAGTACGCGTATACACTATACACATGACTATGCGTAACCCAGTCCCTGACAAAAGCATACGCTGAAACGAGAAATTAGACAAACTTCCTTATATATTATTATACGGTCATATCACGTGATCGAGACAGTTTTTTGCCAATATCTCGCGCCATGGCGCGCCGGAGCCTTTTAACCCGATGTCATATTGTCATGGGGGTGATCCGGGATAGATACAAGTTGGTTTCAACTGAGAACTGTTATGTTGCTAACATAACAGTTCTTCGAGATTTTTCTTAAAGGGCCGGCCGAACAGTTACTGCTGGGGCCCTTTTAGAAAAATCTCGAAGATCGAGTGATTTAGCACGCTAGGCTAATATGAACTCGGAAATTCAGATTTGTGATTACCTGGGGGTCTGAGGGACCCAAGGCTATATTGCCTCACGGTGTAGGCCCGACGCGTACGAGTGCGCGGCTGTATCGCGTGGCTTTCGCCCCATACCAAGACGCCTCCACTAAGTGAAATGAAAATGGGGGTCACGACGTGATACGAATTGAAACAGTAATTAATTTTTGGTTCAAACAATTAATATTATAAATTATAAGTAGAACGCATATAATATATAATAAAGTCAGTTTCTTTGCAGAGCATTTATAAAAATATTAGCTTACCTTATCGGACCTTATTTGGACGACCATTACTTGAACGCTGGAGGCCCTAGCGTTCATCTTTATGTCCGTTCAAATAAAGTCCGTTCAATTAATGTCCGTCCAAGTTAAAGTCCGTTGAAATTTTTTCAAAAATTTTTCCATTTCGAACTTTTTGTCCAGAATATGACAACTATGAGAACTTTATTGTGCCGTAAGTTAACGACGGAAAGGTTCTCCTTGGTCTGCCGGAGGCACAGAAAACTCTACTAGTATATGATGTCTTCAAGGGTCACTTGGCGGAAAAAGTCAACGAAATTATGGCACTCAGCCTCTAGATATTACGGTAAATCGTGTTGCCAAGGACATTGTCTGACGTTGTTATAGTTCATATTACTGAGGGGAGGTAACGAAACAGTGCTAGGAAAGCTCCACGTGATGT